TGGTTTTTCAGTGTTATCATCATATACATTCAATCTTTTTGTGTATAACTTTTTAAAGTATGTATTAAACGTGTAGTTTTTGGATCTTGTATGATATAATTTATATAAATGTAATTTTTATAATATATTTTGTATAATTATTTAAAGTTCGTACATTTATGTTTGTATCAATACGTCATTTTGGGTTTTATTATATTTGTATGATTTCCGACTTCATATCACCCAATTATACAAAAAACATATGAATTATACAAATATAACTAAGAAATATACAAACAAGATGCAAATTAACCAAAGAGTCGAAGTTTGAAACTACAATTCTTCAACTTTCACTTGAATCATATATCTGAATTTGATTTTGAAACGGCTAAACTTTAAAAAATTAGGTAAACTTTGTCTTATTATTAAAAAATAGGCCCATTTATGCATTTCCCCCAACTAGTTTGGGCCTTACCATAAATAAGGGTAGTAAGTCTAGGCCCATTTTTTCGTTATTATTATTTTTTGAACAAATCAACATAGTTAATCAGTTTAATTTTTTTTTTTCATTTTTCATTTGGTGTTTGATATTAATTTTGGAGTTTGACTAATATAGGTTCTCATCGAAATGTCGCACTTAACTAGCACGCTATCTTATATAATCGGAAACAACTTCCTGGCTAAAACATACTAAATTGTTTTTTTTGGGCTTAATTTTACTCCATCTGTCTCAATTTATGAGGCACCGTTCAAATTTTAAGAGGAAAATCATTTAATTTTGACCATGAATTCAAGCATGAAATCTTTGAGCTTTTTGAAATAAAAATTACATATTTTGAAAACTGCGTAAAAAGTACCTTTAAGGCACAATATTTGATAATTCAAGATGATTAACATATATAGAAAAAAATTTATGATAAAAGAAAACATTATTTGAATATCAAAATCGAAATGTGGTACATAAATTGAAACGGAGAATTGTCTTTCTAACAATCAAAATTATACAAAAGTTTATATTTGGGCCGAAGTAGAATTTGAGCAAATCAAGCAGTCTATGTCCACAAAGCCCAAGTCGTATTGAATGGGCTCATGGTAAAAATAGGCCCAATTGGGTACTTCCCATCCATCTTTAAAAAATATAGTCATTGTTATAAATTTTGAAATTTTATAAATAATTTTTTCTTAATGAATTTGAAACTCTATTACAATAACTTTTATTTTTTTCATATAGGAATTGAACCTAAACAAGGTGCATATGTGAGTGTTAATCTATATGATAAATAATTTTTCTATCATCTCAATATACAGGTAAAAAATTGTGTACATGTTACCATTTTCAGTTTTTATTTGTGAAGTTACACTGTAACTTAGTTTACAACAACAATTTAGTTGATTACCTTTCAATCTATATAGCTATGCTACTGGCAAAATAAGATAATAAGAAACAAGGGTGAGATTTTATTTTGTTTCTACATGACGTTTTGTATCAATAACTGACTTGCTCAAATTCAAATTCATAAATTGCGAGACACATTTACGAAAATGACTCTTCTAATAGGTTTGCTACGATTCGTTTAACAATAATTTGTTATCCATTGATTGATAAATTTCATACGGTTTTAGCAATCATTTAACTGTCACTAGAATTTATAAACTTTTGTTCAGCCTTATATAACTTTTTATGAACTACTTAATTTAATAGTCGATTAAGCTTTTACTACACAAGCTTAATTCAAAAAAAAATTATATTTATTATCGCTAAAAGAATTCATTCTTTTTTATTTACTTTTTTAAGTAATGCCATCAAATTTATACCTAGTGGTATAGTCTTAGCACTTTTGCACATGCATAGTGGAGTTCTCATATATCCTAATATAGACATTTCAAAGGATATATATTACCTTTTTATAGTGCTAGAAAAATTATGGTTTCCTCAAAAGATGAAATTAACAATCTGAGTATCGTTTAATTTGACTTATTTCAGATGTTTTAAAATATTTTTCATATTATTTAAGTAAAATAGAAAAAAAAATTAACGTTAAAAAAGATAAAATATATCAAAAATAAGAAATTCTTAATTTACGAATCAAAAGTTATAAGCTCATCCAAACAGACCGATTATATACATGATTGAGTTGATCCTAAATAGAGTAACAATGAACTCATTGTCCATTTTTGGATGAATGTTTTTGTCAAAAAGTTGAAAGAGCAAAAGTTGTTAAGTCTTGCTAGTCAAGTCCAAGAATTTGGAGGTAACAAAAAGTTTTTTCCCACTAATAAATTATAATGGGAGGCTTTCACATCAACCACATTTTACTTTTAAGTTAAATATATATATATAAAAAATAGATATTTTCTATATTGTTAATAAATATAACAATATTATTTGTATTCTACAATTTTAAAATGGAACATCTATAATTAATCTTACAAGATAAAAAAATTAAACTATTAAAATAATAAATTTATATTAGTCGTTGAAATTAACAAGTCCAAAAAGAATACGTGTGAGGTGGATCAAATATACTCTATATAGATTATATACATTTTTCAGAAAAATAATTTAAAAATCGAATTAAAATTAATTTGATTAATTCTTTTATAATAAAGATTAACATACTTTCACTTGCAGTCAAAAAGATTAGCACTTTCATATTAATTTTCATTATTTCTACCCACATCCCCCCTTCCCTTTTTTTTGTCCAAGCAATTGCACTTTTTTTTAAAAAAAGAAATTAATTATAAGAAAAAAATGAGAATAAATATTTAATTTTATAGATTGGTAAGCAATATATGACAATTAATTATAAGAAAAAAAATTAAAATAAATATTATTCTTTTGATTTGTGAAAAAATGATAAGATGAAGTGATAAAATATTTTTAGGATAATGTATAAATAAAAATAAAAAGAGGAAGAATGATAAATACTTCCTTTTAAACCTACTTAAACAACAATATATCGTGTAATTACATAAAATAGAATCTAGATCGAGTGTATGTAGATTTCAACTCTATCTCGGAGGTAGAGAGACATTTATAATATTTCAAATATATTTGGATTAATTAAAATTATTTATAGTTTTATTTAAATAATTTGGAAAATAGGAAAGTACATTAAGAAAATTATGAGATTTTTAAGTTAATTCATTTTTCTTCTTTAAAAAAAAAATAAATTGTGGAGCACATTAAAGTTTATGAGATTTTGAGTAGATTATTTTTTCTTTATAACCTTACATCACACTTTATTATAAGTTGTCTTCCACTTGGTCAAAAGATCAAACATAAATGAATACTACTTAAATAATTTTAGTTCTCACCAGCTTGTACGAATGATTCAAGCTCGTAACAGATCGTAAATCGTATGTAGATATTCTTTTTATATATTCGAAATGTTGATGTTTATTCTGTTTAAAAACTAGAGTATATATATCTTTTATACTAACAGACATACACATATTACAATTTTATCTACTGATTCAATATTTATTAAGATAAGATTATGCCACGTGTATCTATTTATATTAATATACATACACGTGTCATAATTTTATCCATTAATTCTACATTTATTAAATATTGAATCAACGGATAAGATTGTGTCGCGTATCCCTACTTAGTGTTAGAGTGAAAAGCATATATGATCTAGTTTTTGAGTGACAAGAGCACCAATGTCTCAAAAGTATGACGAAGAATATCTGCATACATATTTACGATAATCCAGAAGATATATTTATCTTTTTTCCAATTTTAAATATTTGAGTCGTGACTATAAAAAAAAATCATATTAAAAGTGTGTTATTTACAAAGTAAACTCTATAACATTTGAATCTGAATTAATCAAAACTATAACATTTGAATCTGAATTAATCGAAACTTAAATTTAAAATAAAGATATATATAAAAAAAAAGTAGAGTTATCCACCACAATGAAGACAATAGAGTAAAGTCCACTAAGAAAAATAGAGATAAAGTGTAAAATCCACTTTGAAGGCTGACAAAAATTGTGAAACTCTAGGTTCCCATTAACAAATACATATACCTTTTTTCTTGTTAGACAGAATCACATCCATGCAAAGGCCTTAACTTTAAGTTGACTCCCATATATATATATATATATATTATTCTTTTTATTTTTGTAAAATTTTGATTAATTTAAGTTTATATCATAAAAAGTATATTTAAAGCTTATGTTTAAAATAACTTTTAAACATTCATTGTAGTGAGGTAGAATGCTAAATTCGAATCTCGTTGTCATTATTAAGATATTGACTTTTAGTTATTTAATGAAACATAATTTGAAATTTCATTTCTTATAATAATACTGTTTTACATTTAAAATGGTGTTTAAATATCTAACACAAGTTCAGTAAGATGTTGAGTTTGAATCTCATTGTTATCGAATAAGATATTGAATTCGAGTTTTATCACACCATGTAGGATTCAAGCAAGTGTATGCCTATGAATTTTGAACATCCATTATAGTGAGACAGAAAATCGAACTCGAATCTCATCGTCTTTGTTAAGATATTGACTCTTTAGTAATCCAATGAGACATAATTTGCTTAGTATGATATCGTTTTATATTCAAAATGCTTTTTCAATATTCAACACAAATTAAGTAAGACGTTAAGTTTGAATCTCATTGTTATTGAATAAGACGTTGAATTTGAATTTCGTCATACATGTAAATTCAAGCATGTGTATTGAGAATAAATTTCGTAAAATTATCTTCAAATATCATATCATGAAATTTGATCTGATTTTAAAAATTTGACCTTCGAATATTTTTGAAACCTAATTTTATAATTTTTAAAACACAACTTCAAAATTTTCAAAAAAAAATGACATAAAAAAACTCAAAATTGCCAAATTTTTATTTCGGAAGGTATACTAACACGATCTTATTCATTTCACCGCAATCAATTTACTTTCATTATTGTTCCTGACTTTGGTAGAACCAAAAAGCTTACAATAACTAAAGAAGACCATTAATTCTTCCCCCACTAAAATTCAAAGCTTTTGTTATCTCTTCCATTAATATTTCTTCTTCTTCTTCTCTTTCATTCAACTTTCACCAAAAATTCAACATTCATATCACAAAATTCAGCCATGTTTGTTAATCTCACACATCTTCATCAAAAACCCATCTGAAAACCCCCAAAAAATCCGACCCGTTTTACCCATTTTCAGCCATGTTTAGCTATCTAATACTCTATCAAAAACCCATCTGAAAACCAGAAATTGTTCAGACCCATTTGCCCATTTCATAGATAAACCCGACCCATTTGCCCATTTCTGTATTTTAGGGATAGAGATGTACAAGAATCAGTTGCAGGAGTTAGCACAGAGGAGCTGTTTCAATTTGCCCTCTTATGTATGTATAAGAGAAGGTCCTGATCACGCGCCGCGGTTCAAGGCCGTCGTTAACTTTAACGGCGAGAATTTTGAGAGCCCTCATTACTGCTCAACACTCCGGCAAGCTGAACACGCCGCCGCTGTAGTTGCACTTAACGCTTTATCGAACCGTGGTCCTTCTCATTCTCTAGCTGCGCGTATACTTGTAAGTATATATATCGTCCATGTTCCTCTTTTATTGTTGTACAGATAGGGTTCCGGCGGCATTTTTGCCGTTTATGTCCGCCGAAGTGTTGCTAATGTGCGCCGCTTGTGTTGACTGTGTTAATGTGCGCCACTGTACTCGTCCTTTTTTCGAGCTCTGGACCGGAATTAATGAGTCCGGTTTATGAGGTTAGTTGGGGAAATTAATTGTTGTGAAATGACCTAAATGCCCTTTGTCCTAGTTTTACAAATGAAATCCTTTTTTATTACTTTTAATATTCGCATTTGAGTGCCGACTAAATCGAAATACACACATTTGCTTGTTAATGTCGTGTTTGACTTTTCGAGAGTTAAATTGATTAATTTTAGCGACTAAATTGGATAGATCAACTCAATATTTTACGAATTAAAGTTTAAATACTAAAAATTTATAAGAGAAGTATTAATCCTCTCATTTCATTTCAGGCGATATTGTTTGACTTGACATGATATCATATGAAATGATCGTTTAATTATTTCACTATGGTAAAAAAGAAATTTTAAAGATTAATTATTTTTAATTATAGTAACATGATATTTTTTTTAGACCGACTAAAATAGAAAGTGTCACATGAAATGAAATGAAACTGAGGAAAGTATAATTTTTTTTGTTATATCAATTTGATGAGTAAATATATTTTAAAATATTAGTTAAAATTGATGAAGTCATGTTTAATTAATGTGTTATTACTCTAATTTTTAACCACTAAATGTATAAAAATGCAGGTGATTATTATTATTTTTTTATAGAAAAGTTGGGTCATTGAATGTAGGGGTAAAAAGAAGAAAAAAAGTATTTTTTTTTAGGGTAAGTTTCTTGGAGGGACCATAATTAATTATGACCCATAAGGGTATTCTTGTCTTTATACATTTGCATAACAGCTGTTTTGGGTCTTCTTGTACTGTTTTGATAATTAATTTCCTTAAATGAGGGTATTTTAGTAATTATTATATATATATTTAGACTTTTAATTTTTTTTTTATCCCAAGTGATTTTGCATATTGAATTTTGCTACCTACCTTACAGATTTTATTTATTTTTCATTATTGAAGACCCATAATAAATAAGTGTGGAAAATGTAGATAAGACCTGTCAAATTGGGTAGTAGGAATCAGTCAACATTTGAATGGAGTGTTTAATAGATATAATTTATGAATAATTAATATTTTTTGAAGAGGTTATGTGATTAAGACATAATTAAAAATTACTTGAGTTCATATTAATTAATTATATTCTACTAATTTAGTTTTTGAAGTAAGCATTGTTGCATTTGATTAAGAATGTGACAAACCGCGTAAGCTCGAGGTTGATTTCCTATCATCCAGCTAAATACTGGTGGACAGAGTTATCTGGTATATGTGTTGATAGGAAGTAATAGGTACTACTTAGTCGAATAGTTGAGGTGTCACAAGTTGTGTCGAAGAAAATAGTGGTGGCATGCGCAGAAACTATCTAACCTCGGGTGGTTTCTTCTTATATATACGAATCTAAGTTGCGCGAACTCTTCATTTTCGATGCAGCACTCGTGTCAATTTCTCCAAAAACACAGTACTTTTGGAGAATCTGACATGCACCCACTGACATTTTTGAAGAGTCCGAGCAACATCTATCCGAGTTTCGATGGTCAAAGTTACCTAGTTCATCCGTCTAAATCTTAGTGGATGTAGTTACCCGGTGCGTGTAGGGGTGGAGGTAGCAATCATGATATGTGTTTGACTGAATCAAGTAGTTTTGGTTCTAATCATGTATACATGCTACAAAAATTCATTAAATACGTACAAAAATTGGACTTGAGGTCGCCATTCGAGGATTTTGAATCCATAAGTTCAAATTCTGAATCCGCTTATTGGTCATGTTCTTAGGAAATGGGTACTCGTTCGAATAGTTGAGGTGTCGCAATCTGTGCGGTCACCAACTTTATTAAAAAAAGATGAATGTGGCAAACTTTGAGTTTGGCACATGTGTTGAAGTTCAGAGGTTAATTAATTTGAATCTAGAATTGCTTCTATATTTATGGAGTTGTTTTACATGACAGAGACTGAACACATGGGCATTGTTGACTTTTATCATGTGTGTTAACTCTTGCTCATTCATATAATTTATAATATTGAGGGTAAGTATATGACATAATAATAATATTGGGTGTTAAGGGGGCGTTTGTCCATGACCAAAACTTTTTTCCGGAGTTGAACTTTGTAAAACACGTTTGACCTTTCGGAATTCAACTTGAAGTTGGATTTCATGATTTGAGAAACACCAAAAAGTCGTTTTTACTTATTTTTCAAAATTTTTTGAAACAAAATCAATTTCTATTGATGGCCAAACGCAACTATTTTCATGATCAAACGCCCCCCTATATTTAAGGTATTTGGTTCAGTGTGGCAGTTGGAGAAACAGTATTTAGCCAAGCTTCCTATTTATGGCTTTTGTCTCCCTATATATTTACTTCTATTATCTTGGAAGAAGCATTTGCATGTGGCTGTCCACTTCCATGAGGTCTAGTCCATAAATGTCATACTCACGCCGTTTTAATTTGTTTGTCTTAGTTTAACTTGGTACGGAGTTTAAGAAAAAAAATAAAATTTGAATCTTGTGATTTTAACTAAAGATATGTGTAATGTACCAAAATGTACTTTAATCTTATGAATTTAAACATGTCATGTGGGATGTTGAAATTTAAGAGTTGCCAAATTAGGAAAGAGACATTTTTTTCAGAACAAACCAAAAAGAGAAGTACAACAAACAATTTGAAACAGAGAAAGCATTAAATTGGCATATGCTTCATTTTATGTGAGACTATTTTAATGAATAGTTACTTTGATATTGTGATTCTTGATAGATACTAACTTAACTTGAGGCTAGTGAAAGTTGTTGGTGTAGAAAAATTATTCATTCTGTTTTTCCACCTCATTGAACGGCCTCCTGCAAATTGATTTGGATCACATACTAGTTATGTAGAGATTCGGTATCTCAAAGAATCCAGGAAAATAAGTAGGCTTCTTATTTCTTGTATTCAGTATGTAAGCAAAAAAGTATTATCCTAAATGCATATGTATATAATCTTAGATAAATACTACCAGAGCGGGGTGGGGTGCACAATAAATTCGGAATGGTACTTGTAGAATTTGTTTTTTCCTCATTTTGAAAGGCAATGTTTTCAAAAAGTTTTGATCAGTCAAGCATGAAAAAATTGAAAAACCTTTGCAGCAAAATGTTTTTTTCCTCTTACCGAACAACACCCTATACTGCAGCATTGTTTGCACAATGAATAACAGTACAATTAATTATATAAGACACTAATTTCTCGTGCTGACTATAAGTCACTGGTTTGATGACATTGCTGAAGTTCTGTTGTTTTCTTTGTTGGATGAACTCATTGTAGGATGAAACAGGCGTCTATAAAAATCTGTTGCAAGAGATAGCGCAAAGAGTTGGAGCTCCTTTGCCTCAGTACACAACATATCGGTCAGGACTTGGCCACCAACCCGTGTTTACAGGGACTGTAGAATTGGCTGGAATCACGTTTACTGGTGAACCTGCCAAGAACAAAAAGCAAGCTGAGAAGAATTCTGCCCTGGCAGCTTGGTCATCGTTGAAACAATGTAAGGCTCCCATTCAGTAAAGATAATATATTACCTTTAGAAATTGCAGAGAGTGTTATAGTCAATATGTTCTGCATATGCTGCTCATAATCTGTGAAACAGTGCACTGAATCTGTGTGGTAGTAGGTTCATATGTGTTGCTCCTTTTTATTCTAGAAAAGATGTGTCTTTCCTGTGCTCGCTTTATGTTTTATATTGCTAGAGTATACAATTGTCTCCGTGTGACCAATAGCTCATGGGTTTGAGCTGCATAACAAGCCGCTCATGCTTGTGTCAAAGCAAACTGCCTACATTACATCACACTCCCTTGGGATGAGACCCTTCCCCGAACCCTGCATGAATGCAGGATCCTTTGTGTACCTGGATGCCCTTCTATTACAAGTGTATACAGTATCTGTAACTTGTAAGTATCAGAGATTGGAGAGGAGAAGGTCTGTATATGCTACTGCTAATTTTTGTATATTCAAATACTTCAGTATAGTTCTCCTTCGTCTTTTGAAGTTTTATCACTGTAACCTTTGCACGTAATATTGTAATGAAGAAAGAACTAGGACAAGGGAAAGAAAGAAAGACGTATTCTAATTGTCAATCAGGCCTGGGATAGATAATAAGATGAACTAAAATTTTAAAAGATTCTTAACAAGTACATGCACGGATTCCTTTTCCTTGTAATACATGCAGTCATCTTATTCTTATCTAGTTAGCTAGTGTTCAGCTAACAGATTTTCTTGCTTGTGTTAACTTGCTCAGTCTGATTTTTGATTGAAATTTTCAAAGGAATTGGGAAAAGAAGGGGGAGGGGTGAGGGGGTGCATACAAAATGGTCACTACAGAAGGTAACTAGTTTATTTCCTTTACACCCACCAAACTTTTCATGTAGAGTCTTATCCGTTCACCTTTTTCCTGCAAGAAAATTCTCAAGCTCATCAGATGAGCAGCTTATACTGTTGCATCTACAGCCTATTGCTTATAGCTCATATTCTCATTCTCACTTGATACATAGAATAACTTGTGAGTTTCAACTTAAGGAGTTTTGATGGAAATAAACATTTACCAAAAAAATAAAAGCGGTATCTGTACACACTATCTGTACAAGGTAGGGGTATGGTCTAGTATACTCTACCCTTCTGTGACCCCACTTGTGGGATTACACTGGATATGTTGTTGTTGTATATTCTGCCTTTATGGTTTAAATGTAGCTGGTTGGAAATCGGACGGGGATATATAAACACCCAAAGACAGGTCTTCATACTAAACCAGCCCAAATGTTCTTGATACATTTATGCTTAAACTTATCCAAACACTTACTTTACCCGAAATTACTTTTCAACATCTAAACCAAAACGTAAATCCAAATGCCACCTAAATTTATTTTTTCGTCTTTAAGATTCATGTTGCTTTTTTGACTTGCCTATCAGAACTTAAGAGCTTCTTGTTGGCTCATCCATCATGGAAATGTGTTCTGTTTCTGATGATTCCTTAGTAGTAGTACAAACTTCCTTTAGCTCATCATTATGCTGCATGATGTTATAAAGATATCTACATAATTGCTTCTTTCTGAAAATGCGGAACAAGTTTCGTGGGCAGTAAAAAGGTTTGTTTCTTTACAGTGGCGCAGCAAGATGCAAGTTTATCATCTGAACTGGAGAACAATGATGAGCAGGAACAGATCAGAATAGCAAGAGCCTTACTGAATTACCGTTTGAAGGAACAGTTAGAAATGGCCAAATCTGGCAAGGTGCAAATACCATTCCAGAAGAAGTTCCCAATTCCATCTCCTCGACCATCAAGTCCACAGCGTCCTGCAGTCACGTCATCCAAAATCCTCCCCTTAATCTGCCCTAAAACAGTTAATCGTTACAGATCGTCCTCTGCGACAATAAATGACAGCCATTCCTCGTTATCACAGCCGCTGCCACAATCACAAGCTTCATCATCAGAAGGCCGCACTGTTTCCACCCGTATATCTCATGCTCCAGGGGCAGCTCCACCATATATGCCAGTTAGACAATATAATAGGACACCTTACCATGGTATTGCTCCGCCTGTTACAATTAGAACAGCAGTGCCAGTTTTCTCTGCACCACCTCGTCCACAACCAACCGGATGCCCAACTCAAATGATGCAGGCCCGTTCAGTTCGAGTTGCACCACCTGTCTGTATTAGGCAGGCTATCCCGGTATATGCTACTCCACCAGCCAAAAAGGAAACTGTGGCACATGCTACTACTACAGCAAGTAGGCCATCATCTCAGCCTGAGGAAGCTATGGCACGAGCTACAATTGCTCCAAGCAGGCCCTTAGCTCAGCCCAAGGAAACTGGGACCAATGCTGGCACCGAGGTTGATGAATCAACGGCAATGAAGTGCTTGGAGGAGCTCAGTTTATGACAATGGCTTGGTCCTTTGAATCTACCAATACCTATGTCAAACATTTTTGTTGTCTTCTTTTAGTACTTGGTGCTTGAACAAACAAGGAGAATGAAATGCTTGGGAAGTTCAGAGAATGATAGTGACTTTGGACATAGTTAAGCTATTAATATCTATGTTAACATTTCTGTATCTATTAGTATAATTTTCATATTTCAATGTTCATTTTTATCTGTTGTGCATGTTGTTCCATGCTGTGTTGTGCCGAACCTACCGGAAACCTCTTTACCTCACAAAGGTAAGTTAAAGGTAAGGTCTGCATACGATCCTTCCTTTTTCATATTTCAATCGTGGGATTACATTGCATATGTTGTTGTCATTGTTGTTCCACCATTCAAACTCATTTGATGCAGCTACGATACAACAACGGACGCAGGTAAAGTCCGTGGATTACGAAGATAGAGAACTTGTTTTCGATAAGACCGTTTGATGAGAGACAAATATTTGTATATAAATTATTGTGTATTATTTGTACTTGATTTATTATAGTATTCAACTTTACCTTGCATTTTTATTGAAATCTATTTTCATAATATGAACACTTAACTCATCACCTCTTTATCACATAACAACAACTTCTATAGTTATGTCAAAGCTCCCCTTACGAATACTTTGCTTTTCTCTTAGAGATAATTTCGATGATTATTTGAACCTATGACCTCTTAACTACGCGACAAAAACTTTTATCGTAGTGTCAAAACACCCTTTCATATTGAACTATAATTGCAAGCTCGAAAACTTCAAATCACTTACTACCTTACTAGCAAACCCTATAGAACCACAAAACCACCAACAACAAATGAGAGTCTATGCAGATTTTATCACTATTTCGTGAAAGTAAAAAAGACTGTTTCTGAAAGACTATCGTAGTATTACAAAACCAAACATTTAAATCATTAGATTTTTCAAAAAAATAAAAATAAAATGAAAGAGGAAGTTATAAATTTTTCAACCTACTTAGTCAAATAAAGAAAACCCTATTAATCAAATTGGACTGGTCTAAATCTTTTAACACAAACCAAGAAAGATAGCTCAGTACATTATGGTTCAGTAGCAATAAATTATTTACCTATTAAATTCAAACAGAAGCAATGTATGGACCCCTATATTTTTCAACATTTTTGTACAATATTTCATCAAAACTTTTATTATCATTATAACAAAAAAAAAGAAAAAAAATTGGACCATTTTTACCATGAGAATACTCATATGGTAATTCAGTTATGTCCTTCATTTATTGTATATCAAACTACTTCATATCCTTCAAATTTATCATCCATTTCTCTTTCGTTCTTAATCAGAAATTTCGAGTTCAAGATCATTCTGTATGAACTATAAAGTCGTTTTTATGAAGAAACATTGTGGGACTTCACGATATTCAAATTTAATCGAGTCCTTAGCTTGTCATGTGTATGGAATATGTTCTATGTACGATATTTATATTGAAACTCAACTAAATTTAAATTCGCGATTCGAAACCACTATGCATGGGCTCCCATACAACAGCCACCTCTAATAGAGTGACATCTGTCAAAGGTATTAAAATCTTATGTAACACTACAAAAATGTCTTTTTCCCCATGGATCCCAAAAAACAAAATAAATGGTTCACTATAATAATTGCAATTTCATCTCATCACCATAAATATAAAAGATTCAAATTTGTATTTTTATGTAAAAAGAAAAAAAAAGTGAAAGAATTTAAGACTTCAATCTAAAACTTCTAACGATATAGTGAAAATAATATTAAATAAGTATATTTCTCACTTTTAAAAAAAAACTTTATTATATATAATTATTATAATAATATAACAATAAGTCAAATAAGGGACAAATGATATTTTTTTCTAAATAAAAAGATCCTTCAATGATCTCTTTACCCCATATTTAACGGTTAGTGGACTTAAGCTTTATGGTCGGAGGGTAAATTTTATAAATTTGATTACTTTTTAGTTCCTATTATTGAATTTCGATTTTACTAAGTAAAATTTCAAAATATTATCGTTGATAAAAACTTAATTCAATAGAATAATATAATGAAGAAATAGTCCTTAAATGCTATTTTTAGTGAATTTTAATTTCACAAGTAAAATTTTAAAATATTGTTACAGAGTTTTACTCGTGAAATTTATGAAAATATGTGTAGTTCACATCTTAGCTAATTTTGAGATCACCGGTTTAAGCTATATTTCAAATGTGTAATAATTTGCATATACTTCAACCTCTCGGACTCAACTTATGAAATTTCACTGAGTTTATTATTGTATAGTTCTTATCGAGGGTCCATTGAAAACAACCTCTTTACCCTTCACAAGATAAGGTTAAGATTATCGAGGGTCTATCGGAAACGGACAGTATCTATAAAGTGTAATAAACAAGCATGTCATATCCAATGTATAAATGGTGGGCCCAAATTTGCACTTCAACAACACCAACCCAACTCAGCATTCTACTGATTCACGCAAGATGGGCCCAATTACAGGCCCAGACAGAATTGGGCCCACTTAAAGCTAAGGACTTTGATTGGACCATAGTGGGGCCCAAAAAGGAATTAAGGAAGCAATGGATTTTATTCCTTTTCCTATGAGAAAAAAAGGAATGGCTCTTGGCAAAAGTAAAGATGTGAACCCTCCACCCATTACAAATATTTTTAAAAAAAAAAATAATAATCTCTCCGACCTAATATATCTGACACTTTTCAAATTTCGAAATTCAAACAAGTTTTTCTTTTACTATAACTTTTTCATACGTCTTTCAGAAATTTCGAATTATCGATTGCTGTTTCCATATATGTTTTTAAGTCTGAATTCACGATCAAAATTAAACTACTTGATTCTCGAAATTCGAACTGTATTATTGGGATAAAAAATAATTGGGGGGGGGGGGAAGGAAAAGAAGGGGGACAAAGTGGAAGAATGTTAATCCCATCAATCTATCTAAAAAGCTAAATAAAGATTGTAAAAAAAAAAGGATACAAAAAAAAACCCTAAGTTTGACTTTGAGCAATGCTCATCATAAAACATTGATTGTACAACAAAGAAATAGGAACTCATATTGTCCCTATTATGGTCCTTGATAGTCAATCTTTGTAAATATGTCATGTCATTTTGGGACATTCTCTCAACAAATTTACACTTCTTTATGTACCATCTTTTTTAACATATTGCTTTGCATATAATCATTCTTGTTTGTTGAAAATTTCCCTCAATTGTTTTGTCATATCACAAATTGATATAAAGAGAAACATAACATGTTGAATCTCATATGACATAATAACAACAAATTTGTTATAATACTCTCATTGACTTAACTGTTCAATATAACTTACTCTTATCGAAATAACTTTAGATTCATCGTAGGTAATTAATATATTTCAAAATGAATATCGTGCATCAATCTCTTAACGCATGTCTCTGATGAAGACACTGGAAAATTCAGAAATCAACCCCCAAATACATCAAAAGAAATACCATATTTTAGATATAATAAAAATACTTACAAGCGTGAAAAGATTTTTTTGTCAAAAAGGTAAGATTCTTTTACTTTGAAATCTTAGAAGTAATTTTCACTTGGTTTAATATTTTTTGGGATTGAGGTGTAAATAAAAGCAAGTTTTCTTTAGAAGGTGGAGTTGAATTCAAGCTTTCAACAACAAAATTATATCAAATTTCAAAGAAAAGAAGAAATTTTAATCATAGCATATATACCTTTGTCAACTAATTTGTTGAATTTTTAGCCCCTCTTGGAAATCATATCAAATAAAATGACAGCATGGACAAGAGCTAAAACTTTATGTAATGTCTATGTGGTACTAGTAATGATCTGATCATGGATTGGTCAAAATACATGTCCCTCTATATTATTTAATCATTTCGATATTCGAAATATACTGACACGATTAGTAACGATCTGATCATGGATTGGTCAAAATACATGTCCCTCTATATTATTTAATCATTTCGATATTCGAAATATACTAACACGATTAGTAACGATCTAATCATGAATTGGTCAAAATACATGTCCCTCTATATTATTTAATCATTCGATATTCGGAATACATTGACACGATTAATTTGGATATATATTTAATAATTAAGTTCACTAATAGAGTAAAGTGTTTGTTGGATTTAGTATTTCATCAAGAAAAAAAATAATATATATATATATAGAGAGAGAGAGTCCGAAGCCTAAAGGGTATATATATTAACAAACATTCTAAAACGGTATATAAAATTTTATATTAACCAAAAACGACAAAATCGTTGGAACAACAACGATTTACTCCACCGTCAGCGATTTTGCAAAATGTGATTATTATTTTTTTTAAAAAATGCAGCGATTTTCAATTAAATTAACATATTTTATCTCTTTGAAAAAAGTAGCTCCATTCGATTCTTATTAAGAACCTTAACATTTACGTTCATTGAATTATAATTTTTTTTGCTATGATAGTAAATTTAAATTTGATCAGTCTAACTAATTCAGATTCGTATCAAAAAAACTGTTATATTTATGAATGACCAAAAGACTCGTGAACCATAAAAAGGGCTGCATTTAAATTTTAATGGGTAGTTGAAACTCATACAATTAGCCGATTAATTAGTTGGATTAGTTCTATAGTAAGTCTAAACAAAAAAGTGATTTAGTAAGAGCTTCATTAAATGAAATAATCACTTTTATGTATATTATTATACGTACATCAAAGTCTCATATTTAATTTAAACTTAATAGATAAAATTATAAATGTCTTAATAATGTGACCCTTTTTTTTTTGAAAAAAAATTGTGTATGTTTACCTCTTAGTTATCTATGGAAAAATTAGAAAAACAAATCCTATGTTATGTCGTGAAAAATGTCAAATTACGATTGTTATTTTGAACTACGATATATTTAATTGTTATAAACAGTATATATTGAGTCCGTAAATATGTATGTAAATATTAATAAGTCAAAAAAGAGAGATTTTTGTGTTGGTGTAATTGACGAATTCACCAACATATTCCATACTTTTTTTTTCAAAATTAATTATATTCTTTCATGAAATGGTGTTATTTGGAATATTGTAATATTTGTTATATTCATTCGAAATTAATTATATTCTTTCATAAAAAGTAAATTAGATTGGTCAATGACATGAGTGTCTTGGTTGATCTATAAATAGAAAGACACTATTTTTCAAA